TCGCTGTCCGTAAATAGGATCAAATCTGAGACGAAAGGTCAAAACGGCTATTTCCTAAGACAATGACTCCTTGAGTAACTTCCAAAGAGTGAAACATTGAAGAAAGAAAACCTACGATTAGCAACAATAAGTCGCAAACACTATCTTTGTATCTTGTGACTCACATCCTTGAATTACTCAAACTTGCTGTGTTAACTACACCCTTTAAACATCTCACTTGATCAAATCTTGAAAAGACTGAATTACATTCTTTGTATCAAAATAATAAAACCACAATTCTTCATCAAAAGAAAAGATGCTTTATGATACCGATCTTTGAAAACTATACCCTATGAAATACGTGACTCGATCACAATAGTAAAACTACCCTGACTTGAACATTATGTTGAGCCTCTCTTTGTGGGCCACAAAACGATCAATACAATTACGTTATCTCTCAAGATTATTATCGATGATATTATTGACCAAACAAACTCCGTTTTAACCCTAGCAAGGAAATGTATGTGCAACAGCCAGAGAAGAAATGACGTCACAAGATCAAGCTGAATCATTCAATCGAAAATCCCGAACCTATATGCGATGTTGGTGTAAGAACAAGTAAAGATTCCTCACTCTATGAATTCATGAATTGAATCACGTACTGAAGATATTCTCTTCTTCCCTCGATACGAGATCAACCATAGTGTTACAATCAAACCTGTCACTATCATGGGCGTATCTTGATATACATCCAAAATCGAAGAAAGAAAGTTGAGAATGACAAGATGTATTTAAAACGCCACTCAAACGTCAACACCTATGAGCGTGGATTAACACAAAGACTCATTGATGATAATGAGAGCTACCATGAAGTGAACGAAGAAATGTTTCGATGTAAGGATGATGATGACAAGCTACTGTACAATCAATCGACACTACCTCTTCATAAATGATGACAAATTCCATATTCTGGAAATCATGAAGCGATAAAAGCCATTTGACGTTATCTACGAGTCATTGCTGGGCTATGTGAACGATGTGAATATGTTTTGAATGACTTAGACGATTACACTATGACGTATGAATTGAAAAAAATTCTAAATCCCAACCTAGACCTACCGTGAAGATGATGGTTTGAAACTGCAAATACCATTGAAGAACCTTGAATCAGAGAAATAATGTTTTCGACTAATAAAGTACACTCAAGATTTGTGAATGAACGAAATGATGTGCAGATATGTCAAGTATGCTCCAAAATACGATGTTATACCTTGCAAAGGAACTTAGGTTATGGATGTTGAATCTGAACCGGAACCTACGAAAGGGATTGTTGGATGCCTTGCGTAATCAAAGATTATTAATATCTTGAAGAAAGAACGAGTTGATAACATCGACAATTTGAGAATATGTATCCGTTTGGATAATGACATATTTATGGTTTAACCAAATGAACATGACACGGTCATGATAAAGTAAAAGTAAGATCACTACGAAATATTGAACGTTTGGCCTTAGAAGAATTTCGAGGATGAAATTCCTCTCGGGGGGGATGTAACGCCCCAAAACATACCCTAGAATTATTAATGAATAATTATTCAATTAATCAAATTTTTTTTTATTAAAATAAATTGTTGTTGGGCTTTGGGCCGATACGAAATGTGTTTTGATATCTAATATCACAATCTGGATAAGTCTCATAAAGATAAATCCAATATGTTGATTAATTGTGTGATCTTGATTGGGACCTGAGTACAGACCGAAATTAAGAATAAATGAAGAATTTGTTTATGATATGAACTTTAAAATGATTTATCAAAATAAATCACGAGAATAGTTAATACAAGTTAAATATGGGAACCTTTTTGAATAAAGGTCAATTAAATGAATTTTGACTTTGTCAAAGTCAAACACCCAAAAATATGATGTCAGAAAAAGTATTACAAATAATTATGAAAATTATA